GCCGCGCGCGCGGCGGCCTTGCCCCTCGCGCGCTGTGCGCTTTCCCACGTAGAATGTGCCAGAACCGCCGCGCGCGCGGCGGCCTTGCCCCTCGCGCACTATGCGCTTTCCCACGCAGAATGGGCCAGGGCCGCTGCGCGCGGCGGCCTTGCCCCTCGCGCACAGTGCGTTTTCCCACGCAGAATGGGCCAGGGCCGCCGCGCGCGCGGCGGACTTGCCCCTCGCGCACTGTGCGTTATCCCACGCAGAATGGGCCAGGGCCGCCGCGCGCGCGGCGGCCTTGCCCCTCGCGCAATTTGCGTTTTCCCGCGCAGAATGGGCCAGGGCCGCCGCGCGCGGCGGCCTTGACCCTCGCGCATTGTGCAAATTCCACGCAGAATGGGCGGCGGCATTGCCTTTCGCGAAAGTTGCGTTTTCCCGCGCAGAATGGGCCAGGGCCACCGCGCGCACGGCGGCCTTGCCCTCGCGCATCGTCTATCTTCCAACGAAGAACGGGCCTGGGCCGCCGCGCGCGCGGCGGCTTTGCCCCTTCGCGCGCTGTGCGTTTTCCCACGCAGAATGGGCCTGGGCCGCCGTGCGGCGGCTTTTCCCTCGCGAATTGTGTATTTTCCAACGCAGAATGGCCCAAGCCCGCCGCGCGCGCGGCGGCCTTGCCCTCGCGCAGGGCGCATTCTCCCGCGCAGAGCGGGCCAAGGCCGCCGCGCGCGCGCGCAGCGGCCTTGCCCCTTCGCGCACTGTGCGTTTTCCAACGCAGAATGGGCCTGGGCCGCCGCTCGCGCTGCGGCCTTGCCATCGCGCTGTGTGCCTTTCCCCACGCAGAGTGGGCCAAGGCCGCCGCGCGCGGCGGCCTTGCCGCTAGGCGGCGGCATTGCCCCTCGCGCACTGTGCATTCGCCAACGCAGAATGGGCTTGGGCCGCCGCGCGCGGTGGCGGCCTTGCCCCTCGCGCATTGTGCGTTTTCCAACGCAGAATGGGCCAGGGCCGCCGCGCGCGCGGCGGCCTTGCCCCTCGCGCGCTGCGCGTTCTCCCGCGCAGAAGGGGCTGGGCCGCCGCGCGCGGGCGGCCTTGCCCTCACGCGGCGCGCACTTTCCCACGCAGAATCGGCCCTCCCCGCCGCGCGCGCGGCGGCCTTGCCCCTCGCGCACTGCGCGTTCTTCCACGCAGAATTGGCCAGGGCCGCCGTGCACGCGGCGGCCTTGCCCTCGCGCATAATGTGTTTTCCAACGTAGAATATGCATTTTCCAACGCAGAATGAGGCAGGGCCGCCGTTCGGCGGCCTCGCCCCTCGCGCACTGTGCGTTTTCCCAGGCAGAGTAGGCCTGGGCCGCCGCGCGCGCACTGCGCATTTTCCCACGCAGAATGGCCCAGGGCCGCCGCGCGCGCGGCGGCCTTGCCCCTCGCGCACTGTGCGTTTTCCCGCCGCGCGCGGGGTGGCCTTGCTTTCGCGCATGGTGCATTTCCCACGCAGAATGTGCCAGGGCTGCCGCGCGCGCGGCTGCCTTGCGCTCGTTCATGGAGCATTTTCCCACACAGAATGGGCCAGGGCCGCCGCGCGCGCGGCGGCCTTGCCCCTCGCGCACTGTGCGTTTCCCGCGCAGACTGGGCCTGGGTCGTCGCGCGCGCGGCGGCCTTGCCCCTCGCGCACTGTGCGTTACTCCGCGCAGAATTGGGCCAGGGCCGCCGCGCGCGCGGCGGCCTTGCCCCTCGCTCACTGTGCGTTCTCCCGCGCAGAATGGGCCTGGGCCGCCGCGCGCGCGGCGACCTTGCCCTCACGGATTGCGCATTTTCCGTAACAGAATGGGCCTGGGCCGCCGCGCGCGCGACGGCCTTGCCCCTCGCGCGCTGCGCAGTAACCCGCGCAGAATTGCCCAGGGCCGCCGCGCGCGCGGCGGCCTTGCCCCTCGCGCACTGTGAGCTTTCCCGCGCAGAATTGGCCAAGTGCGCGTTTCTGACCAGGTGGCGACGCTGAGCTGATCCCACCTCGAGGAGCAATGGGCTGCGGCGTTCCTGACCCTCGGGCCTCATATGACGCGCCATCGTTCCAGGCGCGCGTCCCGTCCCTGACCAAGTGGCGACGACGAGCTGAATGCGCCTCCAAGGGCAGGGGGCTGCAGCGTTCCCGACCCCCGGGCCTCGGTCGAATGGGCGCCATGCCGCGCCCGCGCCCCTGACCAGGTGGCGACGCTGAGCCAAGACCGCCTCGAGGAGCAATGGACTGCAGCGTTCCTGACCCTCGAGCCCCATCATGATGCGCCATCGTTCCTGACGCACGCCCCTGACCATGCGGCGACGTCGCGCTGAAACCACTCCGAGGGCAGTGAGCTGCAGCGCCCCTGACCCTCGAGCCTCCGTCGGCACGGGGGCCACGCCAAATGCGCGTTCCTGACTAGGTGGCGACGCTGAGGCTGAGACGACATCCAGAATCAACGGCCTGTAGCGTTCTTGGCCGTCAAGCATCTTCATGACGCGCCATCGCCCCTGACGGGCGTTCCTCACCACGCGGCGACGACGGGCCTTGCCCCGGTCGAGGGGCGGGGGGCGAAGGCGTTCCTGACCCTCGAGCCTTGTCTGTCGCATGAGTGCCGAAGTAGCTGGGCCCATGACGGACGTAGGCGCTGGCAACTGCGAGCTCGAACGCCCTCCAGGAAGCGGCCCCGCGCCCGCGCGATGTCCCCCCCCCTTTCCCATAGCCACCCAGGATGCCCCAAGAGGCGCCAACGTGGCCCCAAGGGGCCAGGTTCCCCTCCGCATTCTCGCCGTGGACGTCCTCTATCCCCCCCCCCCCCTCCCCCCTCACGCCCCCCCTCTTCCTTCCCCTCCCCCCCCCCCCTTGTTCGCGCAGGAGGTCCCGCGGCGGACGGCAATCCAAGCTTCACTTCGTAAGGTCGGGGTCCGAGCTTACATGCGCGCAGGCGGCGCCCCGGCTCTATGCGGGGCGCGCGCCAGGGGGGTCGTTTCTCAAACGACGCGCGCGCGCGGTCACAGTGGACGCCACAGAAGTAATCAAGCGGGACAAAATGCGAGACGGAACGCGGGGGGCGACGCTGAGGGAGAGGGGAAGAAGAGGATAATGAGTTACAAGAGAGGCGGAAGAGGAGCACTCTTCTATTAGTTATTCCAATGGCGATCGTTCATTTGCCCCGCTCACAGAAGCCCCTGAAACAGTCTTCTGGACTCCTCCTCCTCCTCCTCCTCCTCCTCCTCCTCCTCCTCCTCCAACTCCGGCGGTGCCATCGTCCGAGTGCGGGATCGACAGCTGGAACCCCAGAAGGCCCTCTGGGCGACGGGTGGTCCCACGAGGGTCTCCTTTTCCTCTTCCACGACCCCTCTTCCCTTCGGGGAGGGGAGCCCTCCCCCCCCTCCTGCCTGGGTTTTCTCGGAGAGGGGGCCCGATGTGTCCGAGGGTCCTTTTTTTTCGGCCTCTGGGAGGGTCACATTGTGACACCCCTCACGAGGATCGTGGCCCCCGAGGGGGGGGGCTACATCGAGGACCCACCTCTTTTGACCGACCGCCTCCAAGATGGCCCCCAAAGGCCCCCCCCAGGGCTCCCAAGAGGCCCCTAAGAGGGCTCCAAGCCGACGCTGATCGACGCTTGCCCACGCTCATCGACGCTAAGTCGACGCTCGTCGACGCCAAATCGACGCGAGCCGACGCTAGATCGGCGCCATCTCATCGACTTCCAGACGCCAATCGACGCTAGACGACGCTCAAGACGGAATTGTTAGGGCACTCCAGGCTCCCATGATTTGCTGCCGAAGTCCAGCTGCTCCTGGGGAAAAACCATTAAGAGGGTGCCGATGCCGCTAATTACTCCCCGGACCTCTCCCGGGGCGCGTTCTGACCACCCTGACTCCGGATCCGCCCTACTTTGGGGAAATTCGTAAGTAGGGCTTGGAATTTCCGCCTTACTTTTCAAGCCCCGCTGATGCCAATTTCCGCCCTACTTTTCTGTTGCTGTTTCCGCCCTACTTCTGTGGATTTCCGCCCTACTGTATGTGGTGTGCAGAAAGTTCCGCCCTACTTGTTCGGTTTCTTATAGGTGGAGATCCGACGCAGTTCTAAGTTGGGAAAAAAAAGCCAAAGTAGGGCGGACCTGGAGTCAGGGCAGCACCTCGAGGCGCATCCAGCGGTAGCGACGAGGGCCTCCCGCGACGCGCCCAACCTGGGGAAGACGGGCGGAGCCCAGACACATCCGGCTGCTCCACTCTTTGAAAAAGGAGCGTGGGCCCCGGAGGTCCCGGACCCCTTCCCCGGGACCGGCGTCCCGTCCGGAGCCGTCTTTTTTGACGCCCCCGAGGCCCGGCGAGGGCCCCCCGAGGCCGAAGACGGCCCAAATCGAGGCCCGGCGAGGGCCCCCCGAGGCCGAACGCGGCCCCAATCCCGCCGCTCCCACCTTTTTTGTGGGGGGCGCCGGCTCTCGGGGAGGGCGGCGGCCTCGGTGCACCTCTTCCCCCCCCCCCCCGAGTCGGGAGCGGCCAAGAGGGGGGTGTCCAAGAGGGGGGGGTGCAAATCATGACCGGCGGCATGTGCGCGGCCCAGCGGGGGGGCCTGGGACGTAATAAAATAGGAAGAGGCGCCATGAAATCTGAGGAAAAATCATGGCCCGCGCCATGAAATCCACCCCCCCCTAGTCATCACGCTCCCCAGACCCCCGACGTCGTGATTTTTGTCACGACGTCGACCCCCAGAGGTCTGGGCCCCTTCCCCGGGGCCGGTTTTGCGTCCCGAGTCGTTTTCTGACGGCCCCGAGGCCCGGGGCGGGCCCCCGGAGGCCGAAAATAATGAAAAACCTCCCGTCGTGATTTTTTCACGACGCGAGGAGGTCTGGGCCCCCCCGAGCTCCAGCGACTGCTTCGCCGCCTCCAGCCGCCGGGCGGCGCGGGCCGCGCCCTCGAGGAAGGCCCCGCCGCCCGCCGCCCCGGCCAGGGTGCGCACCTGCTGGAGCAGGGGCCGCCCGCCCCGGCATGCCCGGGGGCCTAGCCCTGACTCCAGATCCGCCCTACTCTGGCTTTTTTCCCAACTTAGAGGAGGAGCAGGGAGGGGGAGGAGGGAGGGAGGAGGAGCAGGGAGGGGGAGAAGGGGGAGGAGGAGGAGCAGGAGGAGGAGGAGGAGGAGGATGAGGAGGAGGAGGAGGAGGAGGAGGAGAAGGAGGAGCAGGAGGAGGAGGAGGATCCGCCCTACACCCTGCGAAATGCTCAAGAAATCATGGGTTAAGAAATTCATAGTCTCAGACCTTGAATAAAACCCAACATTTCTATCAAAATCTTGGGATTTACATTAAAACGTTAAGAATAATCGAGACTCTGGACGAAAACTTAGGTTTTCTTAAGCATCGCCTAAGGTGTAGCCCTGACTCCAGATCCGCCCTACTCTAGCTTTTTTCCCAACTGAGAGCTGCGTCGGAAATTTACACCTATAAGGAAGCCGAAAAAGTAGGGCGGAACTTTCTGCACCCAACACGCAGTAGGGCGGAGATCCACAGAAGCAGGGCGGAAGCAGCAACAGAAAAGTAGGGCGGAAATTGGCATCAGCGGGGCCTGCAAAGTAAGGCGGAAATTCCAAGCCCTACTTATGAATTTCCGCAAATTAGGGCGGATCCGGAGTCAGGGAGCACGACATGTTCTCAGGGCCCCCCAAAAATGTTCCAAGAACAAACCCAGACCTCCTCGCGCTGTGAAAAAAATCGCGACGGGAGGCTTTTCATCTATTTTCGGCCTCTGGGGCCCTTCCCGGGCCTCGGGACCGTCAAAAAACGACTCAGGATGAGAAACCGGCCCCGGGAAAGGGTCCAGACCTCTGGGGGTCGACGTTGCGACAAAAATCACAATGTCGGGGGTCTGGGAAAGCAGTGTTCTTAGAACATGAGCCCGATGTGCTAAAACGAGACAGGCTCCGCCAGAGAGGTTCTTAGAACATTGTTTGGTAGGACTATAGTGAGGGGCAACGACAGGTGGGGACCAGCATAGGGGGGGATGCATCGACCTGGAATCGGCGATACATCGTCGATAGATCGGCGATAGGCCTCTGATAGTGAGTCCGCACCTTCCTGGGCAGGTTGGAACTATCGGGCCCCATCGGCGATCCATGGGCGATTGGGGGTCGATGTATCCCCCCCTATGCCTAACCCCCCCTACCGTTGCCCCTGATATCCCAGACCCCCGACGTCGTGATTTTTTCACAACGTCGACCGTCGTTTTCTGACGGTCCCGAGGCCCGGCAAGGGCCCCCGGAGGCCGAAAACAGCGGAAAGCCTCCCGTCGTGACCTTTGTCGCAGCGCGAGGAGGTCTGGGATTAGGCACGCCAGGACGCTTCGCCCCTGCTCGACACCTGTAGCTGGCGAGCCCGGCCCACAGGCCCGGGTGAAGGCCCGGGTCAACGGCCCCCGGACGCCGAAAACAGCAAAAAAAAAAACGCCCGTCGTGATCTGTAGCCACGGCGCGAGGAGGTAGGTCTGGGATTGGGCGCGCCAGGACGCTTCGCCCCGGCTCGACACCAGTCGGGGATCTCCTGACACGGGTCAATCCAGACCTGGGTCAGTCAGGCCTGCAGGATCCTACAAGCTCCTGCAAGATCCTGCACCCAAGCCCGGGCCAATGCGAATGATCCTGCAGAACCCTGCACCCAAACCCGGGTCGATGCGACCCTGGCCCTGCAGGATCCTGCAAGATCGGGCGCTCTGGCGGACCCCCATTTGCATTGACCCCCGTCCCCAGGCCCCCGACGTCGTGATTTTTTCGCAACGTCGACCCCCAGAGGTCTGGACCCCTTCCCCGGGACCGGTTCTTCGTCCTGAGTCGTTTTTGGACGCTCCCGAGGCCCATATGAGGGCCCCCGGAGGCCGAACATAGCGGAAGACCTCCCGTCGTGATTTTTCCACGACGCGAGGAGGTCTGGGTTCGAGGCTGACGCTGATGCCAGCGGTCTTGGCCGGGGGGGCGTCCGCGAGGAGGAGGAGGAGGAGGAGGAGGAGGAGGAGGAGGAGGAGGAGGAGGAGGAGGAGGAGGAGGAGGACGGGAGGAGGAGGAGGAGGAGGAGGAGGGAGGAGGAGGAGCGAGGAGGAGGAGGAGGAGGAAGAGGGAGGAGGAGGAGGTCTGGGTCTCAAGGCCCCCGAACCTGGCAGTTGCTGGCGAGCCCGGCCCACAGGCCCAGCCAGTGGGGCAGGCCGGCGGCGGCGCCGACGGGCCCGCCGCCGCGCGCGGAGGCCTCGGCCTCGGCGGAGGGCGCGCCCGGCTCCCGGGAGGGCGGCGGCGGGCGGGGAGGGGAAGTGCAGGCCGCCCGGACATGGGCGCCAACACCAGCACAGGGGAGGAGGGGGGAGGAGGAGGAGGAGGAGGGGAGGAGGAGGAGGAGGAGGAGGCAGGAGGGGAGGAGGAGGAGGAGGAGGAGGGAGTGAGGAGGAGGGAGGAGGGAGGAGGAGGAGGAGGAGGAGGAGGAGGAGGGAGGGAGGAGGCGAGGAGGAGGAGGAGGTGGGGGAGGAGGAGGAGTAGAGGGAGGGAGGAGGAGGGAGGAGGAGGAGGGAGGAGGAGGAGGAGGAGGATGGAGGGGGGAGGGAGGGAGGAGGAGGGAGGAGGAGGGAGGAGGAGGAGGAGGAGGAGGAGGAGGAGGAGGAGGAGGGAGGAGGAGGAGGAGGGAGGAGGAGGAGGAGGAGGAGGGAGGGGGAGAAGGAGGAGGAGGAGGAGGAGGAGGAGGAGGAGAATAGAGCGAGAAGAAGAAGAATAATAAGAATAATAATAAGAATAATAATAATAAGAATAATAATAAGACAAATAATAATAATAAGAAGAAGAAGAAGGAGGAGAATAATAAGAATAAGAAGAATAATAATAAGAAGAAGAAGACTAATAATAATAAGAAGAAGAATAAGAATAATAATAAGAAAAATAAGAAGAATAAGAAAAAGAAAAAGAATAATAATAATAATAATTAGAATAAGAATAAGAATAATAATAATAAGAAGAAGAAGAATAATAAAAAGAATCATAAGAATAATAATAAGAAGAATAATAAGAAGAATACGAATAATAATAATAATAATAATAATAAGAAGAAGAATAAGAAGAATAATAATACGAAGAAGAAGAATAAGAAGGAGGAGGAGGAGGAGGAGGAGGAGGAGAAGGAGAAGAAGAAGGAGAAGAAGAAGAAAGCACAGGGGAGGAGGGGGGGAGGAGGAGGAGGAGGAGGAGGAGGGAGGAGGAGGAGGAGGAGGAGGAGGAGGGAGGAGGAGGAGGAGAGGAGGAGGAGGGAGGAGGAGGGAGGGAGGAGGAGGATGAGGAGAGGAGGAGGGAGGAGGGAGGAGGGAGGAGGAGGAGGAGGAGGGAGGAGGAGGGGTGGGAGGAGGAGGAGGAGGAGGAGGAGGAGGAGGCGGAGGAGGAGGAGGAGGAGGGAGGAGAGGCGGAGGAGGAGGAGGAGGAGGGAGGAGGAGGAGGGAGGGAGAGGGGAGAGAAGGAGGAGGAGGAGGAGGAGGATGAGGGAGGAGGAGGAGAATAGAGCGAGAAGAAGAAGAAGAAGAAGAATAAGAAGAAGAAGAATAAGAATAATAATAATAAGAAGAAGAAGAATAAGAAGAAGAAGGAGGAGGAGAATAATAATAATAAGAATAAGAAGAATAATAAGAAGAACAATAATAAGAATAAGAAGAATAATAAGACTAATAATAAGAAAAAGAAGAAGAAAAATAACAATAAAAAAAAGAAAAAGAATAATGAGAAGAATAATAATAAGAGTAATAATTATAAGAATAAGAAGAATAATAATAAGAAGAAGAATAAGAATAATAATAAGAAGAATAATAAGAATAATAAGAAGAATAATAATAATAATAATAATAAGAATAATAATAACAAGAAGAAGAATAATAATAAGAAGAAGAAGAAGAAGGAGGAGGAGGAGGAGAAGGAGAAGAAGAAGGAGAAGAAGAAGAAGAAGGCCTTCTCGAAGGCAGCGGGGCTTCCCAGAAGCCCTCGCGCCTTCTGGGGAAGGTTTCGGCGCCTTCGGGGGAGCGGCCAGGGCACTCCCGAGCCTTCTGCGACGCCCCGCCCCCTCTCGCTCTATTTCCCCCCCTCGCTCGCCGCCGAGGAGAGGTGGTGGAGCTTGCGGAAGAGGTCATGGAAGAGGCCGTCCAGCTGCACGTGCTGCCGCACCTTTTTTTTTCCACGGCAAAGAGGCAAGGGGGGAGGAGGAGGAGACCGCTGCCCTTCAAGAGGGCTATCCTGACAACCGTGCACTCGAACGAAGACAAACACAAAGCCCAGACGGCAGAAAGAAAAACAGCAATAGCCCCGGACTCGGGTGAAACTCGCAACCACTCGGGTGGAACTCGGACGAGCACGCGCTGCCGCACCTGCTCGTCCACGGACCAGAAGTACCCCACCAGGTGGCGGAAGTGCCGCCGCGTGCGCTCCACCGGCTCCCGGAGCACGGTCGCGTACTGCAGCTCCTCCCGGGCCGGGCGAAAGGGGGGGATAGTAATTTAAGGGGGGGGGGGTGAGGGGTGAGAATCACCCAGAGATCCAACGCGTTGAAGAAATCAAGACGGAGGTTTTTCTCACAGTTCGGCCTCTGGTGGCCCTTCCCAGGCCTCGGGGACCGTCAAAAAACGACTCAGGATGAGAGACCCGTCCTGGGGAAAGGGCCCAGACCTCTGGGGGTCGACGTTGTGAAAAAATCGCGACTCTGGGGGCCGACATTGTGAAGAAATCGTTGAAAATAAAACACTTCCTTTTAAAGCTCTTTTATATCTAGGGTGGATTGCTAGATGTGGCCAGAAAATCTCTAAAAGTAGTAACACACGCGACGACCTCTATTTAAAAAATACGGTTGCAGATCCTGACTTACTGCTATTGTTTAGATCTTCTGCTATTGCTAAAGGCAGTCACAATACTGTAAATGTCACGTAGCTGATTTTCCCGGCGCCTCCCGGCACCGGAGGCGGCTGCATGTGTCGAGGAGCGGGCCCGGCGGCGGGGCCGAAGCCGGCTGCATGATGCCGCAGACTTCGTAGAACCTCCCCTTCCCCTACAGTCGGGGCGCCGACCTAAGCCCAGACCCCCTCGAGTAATGAAAAAATCATGACGGGAGGTTTTTCGCCATTTTCGGCCTCCAGGGACCCTCCCCGGGCCTCGGGAGCGTCAAAAAACGACTCAGGACGACAAACCGGTCCTGGAGAAGGGGTCGAGAACTCTGGGGTCGACGTAATGAAAAAATCATTACGTCGGGGGTCTGGGAGGAACCCTAAATAAGGAACGAGGCCCCTTTCTCCCATAATTTACTCTTCGATCTCCCATGGAGAACCTCGTGAAAACCCAAGGCAAGCTGTAGAACAATCAAGGAACGCCGAGCCCCTCCCCAACGAAAAGGGTTCCTTCTTCAGCGCCCCGACTGTATGTCCCCCCCTTTCGTCCGGCCCGATCCTCGCAGAGGGGCAGGTCCGCCCACCGCTCCACCGACATCCACGAGGCGTTCGCCCGGGCCAGCTGCCGGAGCCGCGCCCGACAGGTCTTGTTACCAGCCTGGAACATATCATTATCCCTATGCTGGGCACCTCCTCATCACGATGCCAGTCTTAGGGATTCCCTTAGCTTTTGAGGGCGACATCGCCTAAGATTGTCATCGCCTTTTGGCGTGTCAATCTTAGGGATAGGGATAACCTCATGCCAGTGAGAATAAACACTAGGGGATAATAAAGTTCGGGGTTCAGGGAGAGATAATAAAAGTAGCCCAGCAGACCTCAGCATAATCTCGAAGTAAGAGATGATCAAGAGGAGACCAAGCCGAGCACGTTTTGAGACATCCTTGGCGTTTAGTTTTCATAGAAATATCCTCAACAATGGCTTATCTCTCATGAAAACTTGTTTTTTGTAAGTGCTCGTGTAGGGTAGCTCATGTGCCTCAATTTCCATGGATAATCAACCCCAGAGATAAAAAAGTTCAGGCGAGCGTGGGGACAGAGAGAAATATAAAAGAAGAAGAATACAGTAGAAGAATAATAAGAAAGAAGAAGAAGAGGAGAATAAGAAGAGGACGAAGAAAGGAAAAATCCAAAGTTCCAAATCTATCAATTTTAATTTACAAACGCTTTATGAAAATTGATTTTTTAAGTGCTCGTGTAGGGTAGCTCATGTGCTTCATTTTCCATGGATAATCAACCCCAGGGATAAAAAAGTTCAGGCGAGCGTGAGGACAGATAGAAATATAAAAGAAGAAGAGGAAAGTAGAAGAATAATAAGAACATTGCTCGTTTGGTTTGAGTCTGCCTCCCAAAATTATTGGTTTCGCTTGACACATCCTGAAAAAGTGTGATCGCTTCGCTTGATGTTGCTATATCAACATCGCTTGATGTTGCTATCTCAACATAGCGTTTCGAGGTGATAATGAAGTTCGGCCTCAGCGCTCGCCGCCCAATTTGAATTTTGTATAGGGCGACGATAATCAACTCTAAACACTGAAGGGGGGGGGGTCCCTTTATTATCATCGGCATGCGGTTACGTTCGAGGCTGGTAGTCTTGGGCAGCGCCGGCTCCCCGAGCCAGAACGGGCCGTCGCCCCGCGCGTGGCAGGCCCCCTCGTGGAAGCGCCGGGCGCCGAGGCCGCTGGCCCGGGCCCAGTCGCAGACGCTGATGCCAGCGGTCTTGGCCGGGGGGGCGTCCGCGGGGAGAAGAGGAGGAGGAGGAGGAGGAGGAGGAGGAGGAGGAGGAGGAGGAGGAGGAGGAGAGGAGAGGGGAGGAGGAGGAGGAGGGAGGGAGGAGGAGGAGGAGGAGGGAGGAGGAGGAGGAGGAGAGGGGGAGAGCGAGGAGGAGGAGGAGGAGGAGGAGGAGGAGGAGGAGGAGGAGGAGCGAGGAGGAGCGAGGAGGAGCGAGGAGGAGCGACCCCGGGATCCGACGTATATGGCCAAAACATGGCACAACATGGTGACAAACACTCGCGCCCGGAGCCCCAGGCGCCCCCCTTCCTTTCTGCGTCATGTTTCTCGAGCCAGGTCCAGCGGGAAAGCGCCCGGCGCGAAAACGCTGGGGCGCCCGGATCTCAGGGCCCAGACCTCCGACGTCGCGATTTTGTTCACAACGTCGACCCCCAGAGGTCTGGACCCCTTCCCCGGGACCGGTTTCTCATCCTGGGTCGTTTTCTGACGGTCCCGAGGCCCGGGAAGGGCCCCCAGAGGCCGAAAATAGCGAAGAACCTCCCGTCGCGATTTTTTCACAGCGCGAGGAGGTCTGGGGTTGGGGCGCCCGGATCTCAGGGGACCGCCTCGCCGATCCTGGCCAGGCCCATCCTGGGCCCACTGGCCGGAGGAGGAGGAGGAGGAGAAGGAGGAGGAGAAGGAGGAGGAGGAGGAGGAGAAGGAGGAGGAGGAGGAGGAGGAGGAGGAGGAGGAAAGGAGGAGGCTGGTGCATGCGCCTCGCCCAGCCAGGAGACCGCGCACGCCAGCCCATGGGGGCCCAGCGGAGGGGCCCGGCCTGGGTCGGCCTATAACAACTCGCCATCACTCGGACGTCCATT